AACAATCATACCTTGTGTTGGACTAAATTTTAGTTTTCAAGGCACAGTTATCTATATTTAGTTTCTTTGATTTCCATGAAGATCTTCTAAGTACATAAGGAACCTACTTTTAGAGATGTTTCTAGTAGGTGGTTTGTTCCTCTTTAGAAAAGGATACTTTTGCTAGGTACTTGGGTGAAAATGAGATTTTTGTTCATTTATACAAACAAAACAAAACAACTAAAACCAAAGTAGTGATGTTTCTAGGCATGCATGTAAATCATTTTACTACTCAAGTCAGTCAGTCCTTCCTCTTCTACCACAGCATTTATGGAATCATGACCCCTATGTTTATAATAGTTGGCCCTTTTACAAAACTGAAAAACTGTGGTTGGAAAACAGAATCCCTGCTGATGACACAGGTGACAGTTTTTCATATCTGGAACTGTAAATTCCCAAAGGCAGAAGCACCCATGAGTCTCGCACACTCCCGGCTGAGAACTTCAGAGAAGGCTTGGCGGTGATGGGCACTATGGACCACTGACAATGAAGGGCATTACAAGGCACACACCATCATCTTCACTTCTCTATTGCCGATTAGCAGTTTAACCAGGACTTCCATCTGGACCAGAAGTTCAGTGAGAACTTCAAACTGGTTTCTTGGTGGGGAGTGGGGAGACCCATATATTCCAACAAGCTTACAATGTGCAAAGTCCTGTTGGTTAGTATGAATGTTCTAAGAACCTGGCACATGCTCCGAGAGAAGGAAATGATCCTCCCCACACACCCCACCCCCACCACAAGATGATCAGTTTTTCATATAAGAACCTCCTTAGGTAGAATAGAGGGACCAAATCCAAAATCACCAACAGAAAAGCAAAGAACCCACACATGAAGTAATAGTTAAACAACGGACTTTAGGAAGTGAATGCTGACGATACAGGAAGATTGAAGTCAAATGAGGTGCATAGCACGGATACTCCAGTTTCCTGTCTTGGGAGCTTCTAGGTCATGGTGGAGTGGGAGGAATTTCAAATGAGCCTAGTGAGCTTTCAGGGATGAGGAGACAGATCTGAGAGTCCAGGGAGACCAAAATCCAAGGTTCACAGGACAGACGACAGAGATGTACAGACAGAACCCCAGAGATCTCTAGCTAACTCTTCCCACCCTACTCATCAGAATATGGGGTGTGTGGTATGGGTATGTGTATGGTGTGTGTTTGTGGTGTGTGTGTGTGTGTGGTGTGTGTGTGCACGCACATGTGCATGCATGCATGATCACAGAGGAAGATATTTGGTGTCCTGCTCAACCATTCGTTGCCTTACTTCTTTCAGGGTCTCTCACTGATAGAGCCAGGCTGGCAGCCAATGAGCCCCAGACATCTTCCTGTCTCTGCTCTCCACAGTGCTGGGATTACAGGTGCAGCCACATCCAACTTTACCTGGCTGCTGGCCTCCTAACTCATATCCTCATGCCAGTACACCAGGAGCTTTTGTCCACTGAGCATTTCTCTGGTGATCAATGGGATTTGTAGAGACAAAACCCACAGTGTTAGGAAGAACAAAGTACTAGATAGGAGGTTAGGGACAAGCAGTTTGGATTTAACAAAATAATAAACAAACAAACAAAATGGCAGTTCACTTGAAATATAGCAATAGAAATTACTCAAAATGAAAAAGAGATCAGATAATTATAATGAAAAATCACTGAGTCTTTATATTCTCCCCCAATCTCTGATGGAAAAAACAGAAACCAGGCACATTTTTTTTTAGCAACATTACTAGCCAATGTAACATTTGTGGCACCTCCACCCAGAGAAGAATGCACACTTCTCTTTAACTGCTCATGAAACATTTGTCAAAACAGACCATACTGTGGCCTATAAAGACAACACTCAAGAATTTAAAAGAACCCAAGTCATAGCAAGAATATTTTCTGACCCATATAGTGCTAAAGTCAGAAATAATTAGCAGAAAGATCTTTGAAAAATCTCCAAACCTCCATAAAATAAATAAAACACTTTAAAATAATCTACAGTCAAGAGGAAGTTGATGAAAACATTAGAAAGCATTTTGCAGGGAATGAAAATGAAATCAACATTTTAGAATCCTGAGACCCTGCTAGAGCATGATTATGAACGAATTCTGACATTAGATGCTTAGACCAGTGAACAATGAATGGCTTCAAACCAGTGACCTCAATTTCCATCTTCAGAAGCCAGAAACTGACAGACAAGCAATTCCAGAGCTAGGAGAAGAGAGTGATAACATTTAAGGACTAAATGAACAAGAAACGAGATGAATCAATAAAGCCAAGAGTCATATCTCTGAGATCAATAAAACTGATAAAACTATAATCAGACTCACTAGGAAAAGTGGACACAAATAAGCAGTGTTAGCAAAGAGAAAGGAAGCATCTTCCATGTTCTACAACTATTAAAATGGTGACAAGGGAATGTAATAAGGCATTTTTGCATATAAATTAGACACATATTTCTTACAATACAAAAATCACCATAGTTCACTCAAGAAGAAATAACTAACTTGTCAAAATTATTGAATTTGTACATGAAACTGTCTCATGTTTTCACTATAAATTCAATAAAACTTCTGAGGAATGATGAATACTAATTCTTTTTTGTTGTTTTGCTTTGTTTTTTCTTTGTTTTGTTTTGTTTTTTGATACAGGGATTTTCTGTGTAGCCCTGGCTGCCCTGCAACTCCCTCTGTAGATCAGGCTGGCTTTGAACTTAGAGATCTACCTGTCTTTGCCTCCCCAGTCCTGGGATTAAAGGTATGAGGCCACCACCCAGTCATGAACTGACTGATTCTATACAAACTTTTCTAGGGAATTAAAGAGGAAATACTACTCACCAACTCATTCTTTGAAGTCAAATCATGTTGATAACAAAACCCAGACAGAAAATTAAATGAAAACTATATACAACCATTCTTTTTTTTAAAGTTAGACTTATTTATTTGTGTGTATGGGTATCTTGTCTGCATGTATGTATGTGCATAATGTGTGTGCCTGGTACCTGTGGAGGTTGGAAGAGGGTTTCAGATTATCTGGAACTGGAGTTCCAGAGATGGCTGTGCCATCCTGTGGGTGCTTGGAACTGAACCTGCGTCCTATGCAAGAAAAACAAGTGCTCTTAACTAGGTCCTCTGCAAGAAAAACAAGTGCTCTTAACTAGTGAGCCATTTCTCCAGTTACTAGATCTCCATTTTTTTTCTGTGGCTGGTATGTCAGACAAGGTCTCATTATGTAGCTTGGCCTGTGACTCACTTTGTAGACCAGGCTGCCCTTGAACTCATAGAGATCTACTTGCCTCTTGAGTGCCTGGATTAAAGGAGTGCATTACCACACTCAGTCTAGACTACTATTCTTAACAAATATAGACACAAAAATCACTCTAAAAAGTGATTTATCAAGTCAAATCCAAGAATAAAAAAAGGGTAGTGTGGATTTGCCCCAAGAATTCAGGGTTCATTGAACATTCAAAAACTATCTAGTAAAGCACTTCCAGTATTAATAAAGTCACTTGTGGTAAGCATGTATTTGTTGTATTCTGTATTGAATTTTATAGCATTAATCTAATTTTATTGGTTCATTTATTGTTTGGAGGATTAAATAAAACACTAAATGTGCAAATGTCTAGTGAAAGGTTGAGCATACATAGGAACCAACACATATTTTGCCAGTTAGAAAGCTACTTATTGTTTAAGTATGCTTACAAACACACTTCTCCAAGAGAGGAAAAGGACTTGGCTGTCTACTTCCTGTCTTTCTGAGCTGATGGTTCTCACCATATCCCCAGCCAGCCTTCCTTTCCAGGAGTGTAGAAAGCTTTCATAAGCTCATGCATTTAAAGCAGGGTCATTGGGAGTGATGGTTTGCAGCAAAATAGCTTGTCTCAGGATATTAGCTGAGGGTTGTGGAGAGATGGAGCAGTGCCTGCCTTGCAAACATTAGGACCCGAGTCAGATCCCAATACTCACTTAAAAGCTGTACATACCATCACACAGATGTAACACAAGGGTTGGGGTAGGGGGTGGGGTAGAAAAAGGTGGAGACAGGTGGATCCAAGAGTGCTTGAGCCAGCCAGCCAGCCAGCCAGCCAGCCAGCCAGCCAGCCAATCTAGCTACAAAAGCAAGTGGCAGGTTCAATGAGAATCCCTGACTCCAAGAGGTAATGTGGAAGGTAACAAAGGAAGACACCCAATTCTGATCTCTGGCCTCTCTACCTGAACGTACATAGCAAATACACTTATACTCATACATGCATGAGCACACACACATGCACGCAGAGAGAGAATATATAAATTGGGATATTATTTTCTTCATTGTGAAAGTTTTGTTAGAAAGAAATTAATGTTAACTGAACTAGTCAGTGCTTACTGATACTGTTTGACTTTTATCATGGTGTGAGCTCCTTAATCTTGTCATGGGCTGATAACTGCAGATGGCTACTCAGAGAACCCAAGTCTTAGAGTTATGTCATGTCTTATATAGCAGCAAGGTTCTAAAGTCAGTACTGACTTATATCTGCTCTCATGATGTTGCCTTATGGACCCTTTTATCTATACATATATGTAAGTACATGAGTTGTAACTTTGACATCTGTACTTTCTCTTGTGTTTACTCCTTGTAATTAATATTTAGTGCATGGAAATGTGTGCTGTAGGCTTTGAAGCCATGTGGAAGCACTAAAGTAGGCATGTATTTCTCTTCTTGTATTAAGATATTTGGGGTCAAATCAGTCATTTTATAATAAAAACCTGAGACAACATGTGTCAAATGGAAATAACTCTCTTAGCTAAGTAAAGACAAATTTGAAGAATGTATCAGGGAACAAGTACTGAGATTGATTAGTGGTATCTACTATGGCATTGATTAGTGATGTCTGCCATGGTATGGGAATGAAGAATAGTGACACACCATGCCGTGTATTTATATTCATGTTTTAGAGTTTCAAGTTAATCCTTTCATTATCGGTAACTCAAGCTATTCTGTTACAGAACATGAAAAACCTGGCAGAAAAGAATTGGGTCTTGCTGATGAGCTGGAGGATGCTTCTCTTCAAGATTATTACATGGATGTGGCTTTCCTCATAGATACTTCTCAAAGAGTCGGAAATGATGAGTTTAAGGAAATGAGAACCTTGATAACTTCAGTACTGGATTACTTTCACATTGCCCCAGATCCACTGACCTCTGTCTTAGGAGACAGAGTGGCTGTCCTGACCTATTCTCCTCCAGACTATCTGCCAAACACTGAAGAATGTCCAGTCTACCTGGAATTTGATTTGGTCACTTACAACAGGGTACACCAAATGAAACATCATCTCCAAGAGTCTCTTAAGCAGCTCAATGGAGATGTTTTTATTGGCCATGCCCTTCAGTGGACAGTTGACAATGTCTTTGTAGGAACCCCCAACCTGAGGAAAAACAAAGTTATCTTTATAATATCTGCAGGTGAAACCAGCCCTTTAGACAAAGAAGCCTTAAGGAATGCATCTCTGAGAGCCAAGTGCCAAGGCTACTCCATATTTGTATTTTCCTTTGGTCCTGTACACAATGACATAGAGTTAGAAGAATTAGCAAGCCACCCCTTGGATCATCACTTAGTTCAGCTTGGCCGGACACACAAGCCAGATTTGAACTATATAATTAAGTTTGTCAAGCCATTTGTTCATTCAATCAGACGTAAGTCTCTCAAGCTTCTCTCCCTTATTGCCTTATTGATGTCCTCTGCATGCAGTTAATCAGCCTATGTAGTCAAAAGCATCTAGTTTTAGTGGAGAGTGCTGGGGTGTGAACAGGAGGCAGTGGGAGAATCTCAGAGGAAAATCTTGTTGACTTTGGTCATTGCTGCTGTCAAACTTCCAGGCAGGAGGTTCTCAAATATGTGAAAGGGTTCCTTTAAGCCTGACTTCTGGACATTTACTAAGTGTTTGGTTGTCTGAATGACTACATCAGTTAGTCTTCAGCATAGCCCTTAATGGGAAGAACTCAGATTCCTTTTCTATAAAGGAAACACTAAGATTCAGATGTGTTAAATTGCTCAAAAGCTCGTAATTAATGCTTGGTAAATTCTAGAACAACCCCACACATTCTGGCTCTAAGATTATACTCTTTTACACGTTAGTTATGGCACTCTTAACAAAGCAAGCTACTGTAATTAATAAACCCCTCAGTGCCACTACCCCTCCTTTTCCAAGGACATCTGGTCTACCTTGTCATTATTAACCATCCTTCATCCTGACTTAAATTCTTCGATTCATAAATACAGATATTTTCTAGAACCTCTGTTCAAGACATCTAGCTTAAGTGCAACTTCACAGATTTGAAAGGTCTTTCCACTGTGGCACACTGAGCGTAGCTTCTACCCTCAGCATCATATTTTAGGTGGCAGTATAGAATATTTCAAATTCTTAGAGCATTGAGCATGTCCTGGTCTGTGCTGGGAATTGGGGAGGGAAAAAAAGCCACACTGTGTGCTTCTCTGCAGTGGCTGGGAGCTTGATAGGGCTTCCCAGGATTTTAGGGGGTCTGACACACACACAATCCCAGGACTCATGTTAGAGTCAGGAATCCTGGAATTTAGACAATATATTTACTAGTGAGTCAAAACAATGTCTTCTCTCAACTGCAAGGTAGAAATTGAGAAGATAACTTGAATAACCAACAAAGCCTATTAGGAAGAGCCTCCATTTTTTGGGGGTGTAGAGTGAGGGGGAAATAGATAACAGGAGGAATTCAGAGATGTCCTTGACTTGTATCGCAGAGTATGGGAACTTTTAATTCAATTATTGCTGTATCTCATGGACTTGGCAAGAACAAGGTCTTTCAATGCCAGCATGTGGGCTTTGCTAAGGCCCTGAGAAGATTAATTTGTTTTGGGAAAAGATTCCCATCTCCAGGAAAAGATGACCTGGCTTTGGGTGGGAGTCATTATGTGGGAAGGTAAAAACTGAACTAAGAATTCCACTCTGTCTCCAGGTGCTATCAACAAATATCCCACCAGAGACCTGGAAGCCAAGTGTGCGAACATCACCTTCCCCAGCCCAGAGAATGCTGGCACGGAAGATAGTTTATTGTGAGTTAAGAAATATTGAACGTGGGTAGTACAGCCCAGGAAACAGCCCTTAAGAATGTGAAGTTAATGACATTTTCATTTAGGGTGCAAAATTTGGGTTGTGTAAGGGGGTATTCAATGTTGTGCTAGTGATGACATCACCGGCTAGAAGATAGTTATACAGAACCTCATTTTATATTTTAAGCAACCATATCTGTTGCTTAATATCCCATATTAAGAATTAAATAATGCAACTCATTGGCTAGTGCCAAAGTAAAGTTTATGATATCAAAGGCTGGAAGAAAAGCAGGACAAAGAAAGCATCTGCCTTTCAGAAAGCACAGAGTTGCAGAAAATCAGAGTTGTGGGAAGGATTCTAACTTTGTAAGCAAAGCTTTGAGTCCCCAATAAAATTTTAGTATTGAAAATAGTATTGGTTTGGAATCTGAAACTTTTGAGACAAATACGTGTTTAATTTTCTTTTAGAAATTGTCCCTGTAGCAAATTCCATACAAATCCACATTAGGACTCTTCCCATTACATGCATAAGATGGGTTTCCATTCTGATACAGGCTGTATTTGCATTCAGTCTTACAATGGACTTGGCTAACCACCTTAATCTCTTTTGTCCTTCACTCTAGTCTCATCCCGGAGGTGTACAAAATTGAGGCAGGAGATGGAGGTGAGCTGTTTGGAGACTCAGGTTCCCAGGAACAACATTTCTTTATACTAGGGGATGATCATGGTAACCATTCAGGGATCCCTGCTGATTTGATTCAGAAGTTGTATATGCTCTTCTCTTCTGGAGAAGTGATGGTGAATGACAATGAAGGGTCACATCCAGAAGAAACTGCAGCTCCAGTGAATGGCAGACAAGGTAACTTGCATGTCCATGTTGAAGAGCTTGAAGTACCTTAGTCTGGCATGGAGGCAAGTAGAAATGACAGCAGAGGGATAAAAGACGTGCCCCCGAGATGAGGGCAAGGGAGACAATCTCAGTGAAGTAAAAAGGAGGCTGCTTATGTTTAGAGTAGTTCTAAAGGCTTGGTATAGAGTCAGAGAGCTGAGGATTGGGGGGGGGATAAACAAGAATTATAACTTTCCAAGAAGGCTGGAGCTGCACCCCAGGCAGGTGAGGAGCTCCTGGACTCCAAACATTCCAAACATTCCAGGTCTGCCTTTGTAGCCCAGGCTTTCTCAATTTAGATGTTGTCTTGTGCGCACAGGGACACACACACACACACACACACACACACACACACACACACACACACACACACCAGAATGTATACCTATTCACCACAAGTCACACACTAGGGTTTATATACCAGCACTGTTTGTAGTAACTTCTAATTGAAAACAAAAGCACACCTTACACCAGTGAAATCGTTATCTGAAGGTGAGACATAGATGTGGTATTATGTACGAAGCTCCCCAGGTGATTCAGGTCAAGTTTGCAAAATACTGCTGCCATGAATCCTGACTGAATCATTCTTGCTGAATGTCTTATGGCAGTTTGCTGCTCAAAGTGGTCAGATTGAAAGAATCTAGCCCTGGTGACAACAGCAGCACCTAGAACTCACTGGAAATGCAGATTCCCCAGTTCTCCCCTCAAACCTACTGAACTGGAACTCTGTCCACGAGAACCTGCAAGAGATTCTCCTACAGGCTGGCATTTGAGAACCACCCACCTAGTAATGTAGATTCTGAGCATGAAATAGCCTTCTTTAACAAGAGTCCTTCCACTAGATATTGACAGTGTATGAACTCTTATCCTCCTGGGAAATCAGGGTCTGTGTTTGCAGGAGATCTCACTGTCTTTACTGGGTTGGTAGTCACTGAGTCTGAGAGCGTGGTCAAATCAGTGCCATCACAGAACACTGCATGAGGAGCTACCTTGCAGAAAGCTAGGGTTTTATGCCCGAAGTTCTACAGTCACTGAGCATCTAATGTTGGGTGTGTCTCTTAGCCTCTCCATTTCCTCAGCTGCAAAATGAAGACAGTAAAAGAGCTTGTGTCACAGGTTAATGTGACTAACTGGATGTGATGTGCTTCTAGCAGCATGTGGCCTGGAGTGAAAATTCAACGATGCTGCTAGCTCTTTGCAGTTGTGATGAGTGACTTGGGGCTAATGGCTGTGGTGGGAAGCACACCAGTCTGGGAACAAAGGGTCTCAGGTGCCAGTTTGGATTTGGCTGCTGACCTAGCTTTGGATCTGTAAAGTTCACTACTGTGGCACTCTGCCATTACTAATGAGGAGTTTGGGCAAGGCCAGTGTTCTCTTCAGGAGTACAGACACCAGCATCTCTGCTGGGGGCACACAGAGACTTGCTGGAGTGTGGCTATCTAAAAAGCTGGTCTTAGGGAGCATCTATGTGTGTGTATGAAATCTTGGAGGCCTTCTCTCTCATGTCTTATAAATTCCTTGACCCCACCCTCAACACACACACACACACACACACACACACACACACACACACACACACACACGTGCGCGCACACATACAGCATGTCTCTCAGCCATCCTGCATCTGATTATGGTGCTTTAGTCCAAATATAAGATCTTCCTAGGAAGTTTTGGAGGTTGGGTGGAAATGGTCAGGCCAAAAGTAAAAATAATATAAAATTATCCATGTAAGTAATAAATAAATTTCCAATAAAATGTTTACTTTTTCCCTGTTAAAATGATCAAAGTTTACATATATAGGATGTTGCAACAAATTCTAATAATATCCCATCTAGACAAAAATTTAATACCTACAAGTATAGACATAGGTGTTACTAGCATTTTTCCTGCCAGCCTGGCCCCACAGTCATGTCAGCCCCAAATAACACACAGAGACGCTGTATTAGATATAAAGCTGTTGGCCTGTTACTAGTGTTTCTTATTGGCTACCTCTGTCTTAAATATTAACCCATTTCTATTCATCTAAGTATTCCCACATAGTCTTATGCTACCGGAGAGAGGATCAGGACCTTATCCTCAAGTCCCTACAGCTTGAATCCCCACTACTATATCTCCCAGAATCCTTCTTGTTTCCTAGTCCTGCCTAACTTTCATTACTATTGGCTAACAGTGCTTTATTTATTAGCCAATAAGAGAAACATATTTACAGAATGACATCTCCCATCATGTAGGAAATAAACACACACACACACACACACACACACACACACACACACACGCATGTGTGCACATGTGCATCCGAATATTTTCCTCAATGGGAAAAGCATGATCAGGCAAATAATTACAGAGTTTAGAGCATATAAATCTTTTACAGTTGGCGTGAAATTCTACGCCGGAACTGGAACAGAAGTAGAACTTTTAGGACAGAAATGAATACTAAATTATCTGACTTAAACGTGTTTTATATAAGGGATAACTGATATCAAACTACTCTGATATTTAGATTTTGTTGGAAAAGCTAAAAGAGAAAGATGGCCAGGAGTAGTGGCATATGTTTATGATCTAAACACTCAGGAGGCCTAGGCAGGAGGATTAGGAACGCATGGCCAGCCTGGGCAACGTGTAGTCCTATCTGAAAAAAAAAAATATGGAAGTACCATTTTAAAACATTTTCAACTTTGTTGTTGTTGTATGTGTGAGTGTGTATGATGTGAATATGAGGTGTGGGGGGGGGCTGTGTAGAGAGCAGAGAACCCAGTCTCTATTTTTGCCTTGTTTTAAGGAGGAGTACATACTTTGAGTTGGTTTTGCCTGCAAACATCTGGGTAGTCCTGCCTCCTCCCACTTTACCTTAGGAATCCTGGGATTCCAACTGCATGCTGCCACATCAGGCTTTTAAATGTGGATTCCAGCGATTGACCTCAAGTCATGAGGCTTGGCTTTGCCCTTCTGAGTCATCTTTCCAGCCCTCAAGGAGACTTTGTTTTTAAATGCCAGCTTTTAAAGCATGTTGCAATTATATGAATTCAAATTTTTAAGAAAAAAATTAGATGTTAACTTGCCTTTTGTGTAGGATAAGAAGTTCATGATTTTTCATTGGAGACAGGTACTTAGTAAAAATTCCCAAGCCATGTTCAGTTGAAGCTTTCCTTGAGCTGACAACCTATGTTCATGAGATCTGTTCATGAAATAATCATGGAAAAATCCATCAGGCAGTGGAGGAAGTATCCTGGAGAAGGAGTAGAAACCACATGAGGCACCATATCAGCCCAGTAGAGTGTGGCCAAAGCTTGGACCTGGCCAGGAATCGGGCATCTGAGTTAGGAGGCAGGCAGGGAGTGGGTCTGCTCCCTTCCACATCCCTGATGGATGGACCAAGAGCTGCTGTAGGGGAAGGATATATACCCCAGGTCTTCATGGAGTATGTGGTGAAGGCTGCTCCATTGCTCAGCTAGCCCCTGAAGGGTAGTAGGGGCTGGTGTTAACAATCAGAAGCTTACTTGGGAGAAGTCAGGAAGCAGGTGGGTGGGGGTGAGGAGGAGGAATGTTGTCCTGTAAAGGAACATAGGAATTCTGAGCAGAGCCCAGTATCATCATAGACAGTTATCACCCTCTTCAAATGCCTCTATAATAATCCTAGCTAAAGCCAGTAAGCAAGGAATTTCAAATCATGGGTAGTAGACCAGAAAGAATCGTGTCCACAATCAGTATGCATTACTCAGTTTTATCAAAGGTCACATCATTCTCCAAGGACATATTTACTCTGGGTCAGACTTTTAGTTTCACTGTTGAAAATAGCCAAGACTCATTGTGTTTGTCTCACACCTGACACCTGTGAGAGTAGGCTCAGGAGGAAACACTGGTAGTCAATATCATGACATTAAGAGCAGTGTGCGCTCCATGTTTTGCAGATGGTGAGGATTCGAGATGAGCACACAGGACAGTGTCTGCTGACATACTGGACTCCCTATGGTGGCTCCAGCCAGGAAGTGCCAACCATGTATTAGAAGGGTAGGGGCAGGAAACCAGAACTAAACTTAGTTCTCAGTCCCAAATCTGAGGGAGGCTCTTCAGAACAAAGACATGGAAGAGCGGACCTTTGGAAACAGGAATGGCGCTTCATCTCTCAGGAGGGTTAGGAACACTGAGCAAGAAGTAACAGTCTTTCATGGGACAGCTCTGTTCAGTCATGTTGATCAGCTTGCAAGATTATCTGCAAGACATTTGTCATAGTTGTCATTACATCTGTATCTCAAATTAGACCCTGGAGTAAAAACAATTTGTGATTGTCTTTTACCTATTTATACAACTGTAAACTCAGTGGCTTTGGTTCTTCTAGTAGGACCCTGAGATTGTATTGAGCATTCCTGTCTTCTGTAGGTGGATTTTTTCTTTTTGGTTTTGGTTTTTTGATTCAGGGGTTTCTCTGTGTAACTTTGTAGACCAGGCTGGCCTGGAACTCATAGAGATCATCCAGTCTCTGCCTTCAAGTGCTGGGATTAAAGGCTTGCCTGGCTCTCTGTGCATTTTCTTTACCTGAACATTTACAAGGTAACACACTTGTAACAAAGAAAAGGAAGGGGAGGGCTGCTTTATGAACTGCTTGCTCACATTGGGAACGCTTGTTTTCTATTTTAGTGGGCATTGTATGTACTTGGGTTTGCTGCAAACTCTTACTAACTGTAATCTAACTCACACCCTTTAGAATACGAGTCCAGGAAAGCACATATAAATCTACGTGGGGAATACACAATGCAGAATAAGATACAGCGGTAGTGAATTAGTTACCACATCCTTCAGTTTAACATGGCACACACAGGCTGTGGAGTGCTATTTAGACTTAAAGATGAGTAAAGGCATGTCATTTGCAGGAAAATGGGTGGAACTAGAGGTCTTTGTGTTAAATGAGTGCTGTGTTTTCTCTCACATGTGGAATTTGGGGTCTGGGAGGTTGGGAAGGAGACAAAAGCAAAGGAGATTTGGAAGGGGAAAGAAAAATAAAATGAGTAATAGAGGAAAGGAATGTTATCAAAGTGTTTTGCATGCTTGTATGGAAATGTCATAAAGAAACCCATTATTTTGTACGATTAATGCATATTAATAAAATCACTCAATTTGGCTAAGGCATCAATTACCAGATTAATGAGCATGCATTGCATGAAAAATGAAATGAATGTGCTCATCGGATAACACTGAACAATTTTGTATTTGTTCCACATAATTTCCCTTACTCTGTTGTTTACATGATTTAAAAATAATACAGTCAATTAATTTTAAGTAGGCATTTACTACTCTGGGAAGTTCCAAAACAAACTCTATTTATTGAATAGTTTTGTTTTTCTCTGAGAACTTTGTGTGTCTTACTACAAGCATGAAGAATACACCAGATCCCGAAATCTGAACAGGAAAATGGCATCACGAATGTAAACCCACAGACACATTCACACTGCTGGTGGATGCAATATCTGTTATGTTTCTCACCATATCCTTCGGCTCAACAACAGTCCCATCAATAGGTGGCTATATGAAGCTTTCACACATACACACAGGAACCAGATACAGCATGGTGTGTTGAACAGAGCTAAATGCAACCTATATATCCTAATGTGTCATGTGCATATAACAGAATATTACAGGTCAGTCAAACCAATAAAGTAGAGCTGCATTCATAAACGTATATCAGTATCAAAGATAACATTGAGCAGGAGGATACACTGTAGCATCACACATTCTTATACCAGAGAAGCAACACCATGTGTTCTTTATGGTAACTGGGGACTGCAATAAAAGCACAGACAATAATTGAAGAACCCCAGAGTTCCAGCTCCAGAGTCCTTGTAAAACAGCCAGGCATCATGGCAGATGCTGTAATCCCAGCACTGGGGAGATGACAGGCCGATCTTGGGGCTCCCTGGCCACCCAGCCTAGCCTACCAAGTGAGCGCCAGACCAGTGGAAACAAAAGCAACAAACACAAAACAAAAAAGAAAATATAAAGCAGACAGCACCTAAGAAATAATGCCTCAAGTATTCTCTGGCTTTCACATGCACAGCATACATGTGCACACATTCCTGCACATACACAAGTCAAGAAGATGATAATGAGCACATTGTTTCATCAGGCAAGCATTCTGCTATAATTTTCAGGATCTTTCTGAATAAGTATATATTTTGGCCATTTAAGCCAAAATTAAAATCTATTTAAAAATTGTTTACCTGTGTATGTGTGTGTGTGTGTGTGTGTGTGTGTGTGTGTGTGTATTCCTATGAATGTGTGGAAGGGATTATTGTGGCTTACACTTTGAGGATACCTTTATCATGGAAGGCAAAACACATGTTACTAAGAATTGAAGCTATCATACCGGATCTGTAGTCATGAAGCAGAGAGAGACCCATGCTGTTGCTCCTTCTTTTTATTCAGTCTGGAACCCCAGCCCATGTGATAGATGGTCCCATCTGCCTTCAGGGTGGGTCTTCCTACCTCAGTTAAGTCTCTCTGGAGGCATACAGACACACCTGGAGGAGGGTTTCCATGGTGATTCTAAGCCCAGTGAAATTGGCAATGAAGATCAGCCATCACAGTGGAGTATTTCTTGGTCCCTGGACCACTCCCTCCGGGCTCTCACCAGTGTGATAAGGGCCCGTGCACTTGCGGATGTTGCCAGGGGTATCTGTCTCTGCCTGGTTCATTACATTCCCATGGCAGTGCCTGGCACTTACAAGAAATCCTGTGAAGGGGTGGCAGGACAGATTCCTCATAAATGATAAGCATGATTTAGCTGCAAGGGGGAGAGTTGGCATGAACGATGACACAACCCCCCCCCCCAAAGTTAGCACGGTGCATCTGTGTAGCAGAGAGGTGGGAAGTAGGCAGTGTGTGAGCAGGGCTGGCCTGGCAGTCAGTGGAGCTGGCCTGGGAATTCGATGCTGCAGAAAGTATGGTGAGCTGTTGGAAAACGGTTTGTCATTTTGACTTTAAAATGAGCAAACTATCTTTAAAAATCTTGAGTGTCCCACAATATATGACCAATTTGAATTCCCTCAAAAGGAACCATGGCCTGTATATTAAGCACTCATTTACCAGAAAGTTTTTGCAGAAATGACCCTCAAAAGCACTGCAACACTCCACGACAAGAGATGATGCACTTAGAACAGCTGGGCAGAATTACAGATGACTAAGAGTCCTGTGATAGCTCTGGAAAACCTCATTCGACAGGCTAAATGTGATTCCTAACCTTTGATCAGAGTGTGAACATTGGGGTGGGGGGGCAGGTAAAATGCTGACTGGTGTAGCTGGACATTTGTACAGGCTCTGCTCCAAGTGGAAGCCCCTTCCCACCTCTCTAGAGTAAGCCATCTCCTCCAGCACCTCTCACCTGCTGCAGGAACCCTGGAGATCTGACCCCAGAACTCTGGCATTGGCACTGTCTGCCTTCCTCCTGTAGCTCTGCATTGCTCACTGTGAGAACGCCACACTAATCATTAGGAATGCGTGCCTTCGCTGGAAACTTAATAGAGAGCTAATAACAATTCGTCTTCATGCAAAACAAGGCTAAATGGGGAGCCCTATCTTGTGGATTATACTGTTGGTCTCTCTCAAGATTCTAGTCCCCAAATATGAATTCTGTGTTGAGAAAAGTTTTGTTTTGTTCCCTGTTTTATAACACCTAGCACTTGGCCTTCACAGAAGGCTGCTGCTAAGAACGTTTTCATTGTTTTCGATGATGCTGTAGCTTGGGTATTGGATAGCTTCCCAAAGGCCCATGTGGTTCAGGCTTGGCCCCAGCTGTCATAGAAAAGCAAAAGAAGCTTTTAGGGGGTAGAGGCATAGAGGGAGGATGTTAGGTCAGTCCTTGAAGGGGATATTGGGGTGCTGCCTCTTCCTCTTTCTCTTCACCAGCTGCCATGGGGTGAGCAGTTTCCTCTGACACAGCACCTGTTGTGATGTCCTGCTTTGTCACAGGGCCAAAAGCAACACGGACTACTGCTAACAACCTGAAACCTCCATCAATTTTAAGTTGCTTCATCTCGGGTATTTATTCCAGCAACAGAAAGCTGATTAACACAGATGGGGACTGCAGCTGTGCAGGGGACTGGCTCACAAGGGGATGATTATGGTCTCTTTTAAACAAATGAGCAAAAAAAATAGATTAAACTCCAGGATGATGGGTGTTATGGGAATAGACTAATACACAGTACAACTCAACTCTTATAGTTACTGGCCTTCCTGTAAAACAAAATAAAGGAACATACAAATGTCCTAACCACCCAGAGCATATCTAGTGGTCCATGGACCAACATATCTGCATATCTGGGAGCCTGGCAGAAATGAAAAATGTCTGGACTCTACCTCACGTCTATTCTATTCGACTCTGCACTAAATCCAGATCTCCAAGTGATTGGTGTGATCATGGGAGACTGAGATTCACTGGCTTAGACATCATTTGCTTGAAGTCCTATGGAGTAGTGGATGTATGTGTAGCTCTCTAGTTCTACACGGCTTGGGGTGTGAGCATCTACCATGGAGCATGCACTGTGTGGGCAGATTCATGAGCTAAGCAGGAACACTGAATCAGGAAGGAATGGTTGCACTTTAGTGTGGTGACACTATCGTGAAGGTGGCATCTGTGGGACCATGAAGGTGGCTTCTGGAGCCTGAACACCCGGGGGCGGGGGTATTTGGGTTGAATGAAAATGATTAGATATGACTAGGAAAAGCAGATAGTTTTTCCCTAGCTCTTTGTCCTCCAAGAGGATTTTGTCTGAACCACAAACACAGTGTTTTGAAGGGGAGGGGCTGAAGAGGAGGGCAATGGGAGAGGAAGGTGTAGATATAAGCATAGGGCAGTCAGTGAGACCCTTCTGCCCCATTGCAGGTTCTGCTCTGAAGCACTGAGGTCTCCAGGATAGGATGGGGTGAGGCTGGACTTGTTTTGAGGTTCTCATTTGCCTGGTGCAGGGATAGGGAATTGTAGAGGGAGAGAACTAATCACAGGGTTATCAGTTATTCAGATAGGAATGTGTAATGATGTTTAGAATAGAGATGGCTGTCATGTTCAAATGATAAAATTAATGGGATATATTCATTAATTGGTTCGGACAGAGGAGAGAAGACTAGGTGGGTCTTCTCTTGCTCCTGTATCAGATTGTCACAGGTTGCTGGTCCTTCCTCTCAGAGTTTCTGATTCAGAAAGTCTTGGAGTGGCCTTAGCATCTCCGTGTCTAACAAGTTTGAAGAGGATTCTGCTGTGGCTGGCCCCTGGCCCAACTTTGGACCATTTCATTTCATCCAACCAAATGGCTCTCTTCTCACAGCCTACTAGAAGCCCCCAAGGAGTTCTTAGACCATAAATATCAGGACCTCATCTCAGAGATCCTGAATGACCATCTGTAGGAGCAGCTCCATCATGGGCATTGTAAAGTTCCCTATGATTTCAAAGTGCAGCTAAGCACCAGCTGACTCTGGTTTACTATATTAGGGCTACAGGAGAAGGAGGGATTTTTTTTCATTTCTTAGAATTGCTTCTAATATTCTTCTAAGTCCCTCACTTATGTATGTGAATACGTGGTGGTTAAATCTCACATTAGTGTAATATACACTGGTTATTATCTCAGAGAACAGATACTAAAAAGAGTAAATGGACACCATTTCTACACCTTGGACAAAAAGAAAGAGAAAAAGAACAACAACAACAAAAAACATATTTGTTGAGTTCCTACTATGTACCAGATATTGTAATAAGTATTTTATATACACTGTATTTATTTATTGTGTGTTCACGTGCATGAGTACGTATTCATCGATGTGCCTACTTGTGAATATTCAGGCTCCCATGAACAGGGCTAGATTGTGAAGGTCAGGTGACAACATGTAGGAATCAGTTCTCTCCTTCCATTCTGTGAGTCATGAGGATAGAACTCATGTCATCAGGGTTGGCAGCAAGCGTTTCCCCCACCAAGCCGTTTCACCAGCCTGTAGACTTTAATACCAACCAGCAATGGGAAGATATCATCATCCCCATATATGACAGGACCCAGGAAGAGAAGGTTGCACAGTGCACAGTTAAGAAGGATTTAGATGTGGATTTGCCTGGTTCTTCCAAAGATTGTGTTTTTTCCATACACAGAACAC